GCACAACTAATTATAACAACGATGAAAACAAGTTCTCTCTTGAAAAATTGAAATATCACAAACTTTTCCCAGAGAAAAATACCAATATGGAAGATGGTTACGTCACTCTGCGGAAGATATCATTTCGTATTAGGGGTGACAGCATAGGAAATTCAAGTACAATTACGACAAGAATCCATGACCACTCGGACCAAAGATCACTCGGTTCAAGACCAGTCGGACCAAGTGATAGACCACTCAGCCCAAACAAATAGACTACTCGGACCATACAAAAAGACTATTCGGACCCAACAGAAAGACGACTCGGACCAATAATAAAATGTTGTTTTAATAAATTGATAATTGCGTTTGTTTTAATATAATTACTCGAACCAATAATAAAGTGTTATTTTAATAAATTGATAATTGTGTTTATTTTAATATGACTACTCGAACCAATAATAAAGTGTTATTTGAATAAATTGATAATTGTGTGTGTTTTAATATGACTACTCGAACTATTAATAACGTGTTGTTTGAATAAATTGATAATTGTACTCCAAATCGCAAAATATCGAGAACCACACTTGTAGTCACGTTTAAAAAGGGGCATATAAACGTCCGGTCTTCGTATTATTATGTGCTGTTTATATTAACGCATCAAGGGCGGATAACTTGAAAACGTGTCTCTCCCCCCCCCCCCCATATATAGTAACCCAGGGGTTAGTGGGGTAGAACGGAATGAAACCACTGGGGATACCGCGAATGTGGAAAAAGTAAAATTAGGCTATCAGACAAGAACAGTATACCCGTATATGTAGAGACTGTCAAAAGTCTGGACATACCGAGTCTCATTGCAAGAGTAAAGAAAAATTAGATTGATATTTTTTTTTGGCACCATTATTAATTAATTTTAAAACTAATCGTTGATTTATTTACGTACACATAAATTGAACCAAACAACTCTAAATATAAGAATTCCGTATAAGAATTATTTGCTTCTTTGTATTGTGATTTAATAATAAATAAATAGCATATTGTCTAGCCTTATAATATAATTTAATTGGTCCGACTGGTCTTGTTTTGGTCCGACTGGTCTTAGTCCGAGTAGTCTTTGGTCCGAGTGGTCTGGATACCTACGACAATTGGCATTGAGTTTGAGCGTTCGCACACATAACTACCCGCATTCCTGTATTTAGTTACCGTCTTTTACATTCTAGTAAAATCTCTGCAAATTTTATAGCTTTACTTTTTGAAATATTTTGTTCTAATTATTTGATTAGCGACTCGGATGGGATTATTTACTTTTGAACACGCATTCCGCACAAACACAACTATACATTCGTTTTACGGGCTTTATCACACTTCGGTCAAAACTGTCGAATCGAGAATTAATGTTCCGCTTCTTACGGGGTCATACGGGCTTAGTAGCATTATATACCCACCCGGGCACCCAATACGGCAATAGACACGCTGAGGGCTGCCGCAACACGCTTAAAGATGTTACTGAAGCGGTTATTATTCGATCGAAAGAATGCGTATAAAATTAAAAATACACTCAGAGAATTCGGAGGTAAGCTTCATGATCCTTGTTAAATTATTTATAACATAAAGAAGATAGGATATTTATAGTTTATTCATGACTTTATTTTTACGAGTATCCGTGCAATCAGTGATATTTTAATTGTGAAGAAAATTTGATAGACTGGCGATCAATGGTTTCCATATAAATCTCCTATGTAATTGCCTTCAATTGATATTTTTCGTCGCCCAAACCCATATACGATCAAAATGATCGCGCTGTCAAACTATCTTTCAATGTTAACCAACCCCCGCAACAGGTATATTGGATTCGACCAATACGTCACGAAGACATTGTTGACATCGACTCTGTCGAAATTACAAGTAAATTTTCAAATTTTTCAAGAGAGAAATTGTTCTCATCGTTGTGATAATTAGTTGTGCAATGGATTTTATCGAACGGGAGTTCATTACAAACACACAGGTGAGTTTATAATAACCAAAGTTAAGTAGTTTGTTCATAATCGAAGAAATCCGTTTAAAATTTACGATGAATCAGACAGTAGCTTGTGGGTTATGTATTTGTCTATGGCTGTATGTGTAATGTTGTGTGGGAGACTTTTGCTCGAGCAACCACGTTTTCGCCAATTGCTCTGCCAATGTGTACACTGGTAGATCACGATTATCGTAACATCAGAAAAACTCGATTATTCTTTCCATGCCAGGGATTCGAACCCGGGGGATTATATTCGAGACTTAGAGGCCTTAATTATATTTTGGTCATATAATGGAATTGCTGTCCAACGCCAATACACCCTCCCATGCAGTGATTAGGTGGCTAGTGCTGAATGATAAGGCCAGCTCAATTTTTCGTCATATATCACGAAATGTAAACCCTAACCCTAACCCTGGGCCTAATCCTAACCTACAATCTCGCCAACAATCAAGTGGCCTAACCTTATTTACATCTCAGCGACCTTGATAAAAAAAAATTGAGCTGGCCTTAACAAATAGATTTAGCCGTGATTGGGTTGTTTATATATATATATTTATTATAGAAGTGCTGTCCAACAATAATAATATCCTCCCAAGCAGAGATTAGGTGTCCAACAATAATATTCTCCCATGCAGAGATTAAGTTGGTTTAAGGTACAAACTTGATCAAGCGTAACACGACGAGTAGTGGGTACTAAAATGCTAATCAATTCATAATCGATAAGCAATCTATTATTACAGATTTTATGGGTATAGACTGTATTGCTATATCGATCTCTACTGTTAATGGGTACCGTTATCTTGTCGGTAAATATACTCTGTATTCAATGATTGTTGTTTTGATTGCTATATACACACCACTGAATTATATACATTTCTAACATGGGTCTGTATTCAATGATTGTTGTTTTGATTGTTTATATACACACCACTGAATTATATACATTTCTAACATGGGTCTGTATTCAATGATTGTTGTTTTGATTGTTTATAAACACACCACTGAATTATATACATTTCTAACATAGATCTGTATAAATGGGGGGTTGGGGTGGGTATCATTAGGTCTGTCATTGAGTCAGCTGGCGTGGTTTCGATTCTCCGGTTGTACGTGACAAGGAGTAGGGTCGCCTGTCCATCCGCGTGGGTTTTCTCAGGGTCCTTCAGTTTCCTCCCACTGCTAAAGACGCTCATGCGCAAGCGAATTATTGAAAAAAAAAATTAACCATGTGTTAGTCCCGAAATGACCTAGATTAAATCATGAAATGGATAATCGAGACTATGTTTTTATATTGTACCGACTTTAGTAATGACGATTGAGGCTAGGCCGAAAAATCCAATCACTATAAATTCTTGGTTCAGAGTGGATCATTTTGACTGAAATTTTCAGCATATTCTTTTTACATTAGCTAGTTTTTAACTTTTATAGTGAAAACAGCCAGCTCTTTATCTAATCTCCCATAATGTATCTTTAAAGGGACAATAACACTCTTGCTGGCTTGACAGCTCCATAAAATAAAAAAAATAGCCTTATTCTAAGTACTAGATGTGTTAGTGTCCTACCTGTTGTGTAAATTATCCATTAAATCCTATTTTACTTGTCCAGAGGGTTCGAAAATATTTTTAAATCCAAGTCACATTTGAAAAGGTTTACGTTATGCTTTTCAAATCATTTAGTTGAATTTTTCCAATTTTATAAATTAGGTGTGTTAAGATGAAATTTGTATCATCAATAAATTGGAATATTGTAAAATAGTACAATTTGTTGACCAGAATAAAGATTGGGACATACTATTCAGTTACAACAAGAGTGGTATTGGGTCTTTAATATTATAGTATAATCTTAGACTTTGAAAGAATGTTAGTTGAAACATATTTCGGTGATGATATACAACAGTATTTTAGTCTGTGTATTTCTAGTGCTATAAATTAAATACCATTAAAACATTTATTACTTCCGCATTGATAAGAGACCCGCGGTGGTACAGTGAGTAAGAAAATGAAATTAAATGGGGTTTAACGTCCTACTGTTCTGCTCCTATAAACTGGGCTAATGAAGACGGGCATACGCCATAGAGTGTGCTATGAGGGAAATTTTGCCCGGGTAGCGGCGCTACGGCCTACTCTTATATCGAATTCCAACTGCCAAGGAATCTTTTACGTGCACGCCAATTGGTACACGGGACCTCGGTTTTTCGTCCCATCCGAACGACTAGACAGCTGTCCTTGTCACAGTGAGTAAGAGAGAGGGCGATAGAGAAATGGTGTTTAATGTCCACTGGACACAAACTAGGCCATTTCGGTACTAACACGTGGTTCAATTTCATCTCAACAATTCGCTTGCGTGTAGGGGGTCTTTAGCAGTGGGGCGAAACCGGGGGGGCCCGGAGTAAACCCACCTACTTTTTGTCACATACACCGGGGAATCGAAAACACACCAGTTGACTCAATGAAAGACCTTATACCTCTCATAGTGTAAATATTTTCACATTTATCAAACAGCACAACTAATATATTTATTATCATTATGTAAAACATTTGTTCCGGATTTTATGCATGTTTGGTGTTGTTAAAAGGGCAAAATGTAAGAAAGGCCCCAGGCCTAATTTTCTACCCTTTTGAAATAAAGTGATTATTATTATTATTATTATTATTATTATGATACAGCGCGCACGTGCTAACCATCCAACCCCCTCCCCCAGGGAGTGGGACGTTGGCTCGCTAATCTGAAGGTCCCGTGTTCGATCCCTGTGTGGACCGAGTAATTTCCGATGTGGTTCCCCCTTGTCAGTGGTGCAGTGTGGGTGGTTGGCAAGGGACAACGTACAGTCGTTCGGAAGGGACGAAAACCACTGACAGAATCCTTGTTAGTTGGAATTCGCTGTCTTGGCAAAATTTCCCTCATAGTACACTGTATGGCGTATGCTCGTCTTCATTAGCCCAGATCGGAGCAAAACAGTAGGACATTAAACCCCATTTCATTTCAATTCCGTATTAATATTTACCTTGGTATTTCCTTCTTCTTTGATCCAGCAAACGGTTTATCGCCAAACCTGGCCATCTTGTAACTCACGTGCACCAATATATATACAACTGTTCTCTATACACGGCGGCCATTGTGTATAATCCTTTATGAAATAAACTTATTTGATTTTATATATGAATAGAATATAGATATACACTCACGCCTTGTCCACATACCGTGTAATGTCCTTCATATAAGCTCCACATAAAAATCCTTAATAATATTGATATACCGTATTCTTCACCGAATCATAATACACGTTCGCCAATGAATGGAAATGTTATTAAACATAGAAAATAATTCCAAACATCTACGAACCGTATTCACTATTTAAAACAAGATTAATGTACGCCCGGAACATCTTAAATGAATCGTATCATAATACACGATGGTGATTGAATGGAAATGTTATTAAACATAAAAAAAGAATCCCGAACATCTACGAACCGTATTCACTATCAATTATCGCCCTCGAACATCTCAAATGAATCGTACGATAATACACGTTGGTGCTTGAATGGAAATGTTATTAAACATAAAAAAGAATCTTGAACATCTACGATCCATATTCACTATTAAAAACCACATCAAGTCACGCTGTGGAACATATCAAGTGAATCGTACGAGATCAGAAATCATTCTTCAATTTCATCTGACGAGCGATTTAAACAAAATGGCTTATAAACTTCAAATCACAATAATAATCCGGCATCGGGTTTCGTCTGCTTCGTAATAGACGAGTGAGATTTATCAATAAATTTGAAATCCTGGTATTATCGATTAAGAAATCCATGAACTCTGTTCCCGCTGTTTGTGACTAGACAAGAAGCGATTTAACAACACGACTTATTAATTTGAAATCACAGTGTTAAGAGAGATTAAAAGATCTATATGAAAACATTTTAGTGCTTAAAGTTCACTAAACGTTCTTCCGTTTCGTCTCTTTGTTACTTGACAAGAGCGATCTAAGCACACGGTTTATGAATTTGAAATCACCGTGTTATCGAGATCAAAAAATCTAAGTAAAGTCCTTTATGAAAACAATTCAACGCGTACAGATTATTAGCCAACTAAAAGGTTCAATGGACGGCGTATGTTTATACGGCTGTGCACATGTTGTATTTCGTTAACTTCACAACACGCTTTATAAAATAAAATCACCGTGTTATCGAGATTAAGAAATCTAAGTGAAGTCTTTTATGAAAACGTAAAGTTTATCAATCAACTAAATAGTGCAATGGACGGCGTATATACGTCTATACACACGGTGTATTCCTTTAACTTCACGTCATTGTTTGTGTCTTTGACATTACCACACGGATCAAAAATTTCGTGAATTGTTGCAAAGACTAACCAGTCATGTTAGAACACATATTAAAAATCCACTAGATTTCATATTGTATAGTTGTTATATTTCCACCCGGTTTAAAAAAGTATCAGTAACTGTTCCAAAGAATAAAAAGTCATGTACAAGAATTAAACATGATAAGATTTTGTACAAGTCATGTTAAAACACATATTATAAATCCACTAGACCACTGTGGTCGTCGCTATTTCCATTGTAAGTGTGACATATAAATGTATCAAAGATCTAAATCTATTGTTGGAAATAATCGTTCTGCCCTAGTGCTTGTAGATCACAGGGGTTATGTGCTGTAAACCCAACGAGATTAAACGCTATACTACAGTTAATATTACGTTAATCCTGTCTAATCGCCGGATTAACTAAAGATTATGTAGTGGTGATCATTTAGTCGTAGATGTAATTGTGTAACTTGATATATTTTATTAATGTTTGACTTTAAAAGGCTGATAACATTTAGGTGTGATTGAGAGAGAGAGAGAGTGTGTGTGTGTGTGAGAGAGAGAGAGAGAGAGAGAGAGAGAGATGGGCTTTAACGCCCACTCGACACAACGTAAACCAGGTCATTTCGAGACTAACATATGGTTCAATTTTATTTCAATAATTCGCTTGCGTGCAGGAGTCTTTAGAAGTGGGATTAAAGCGGAGGAACCGGAGAAAACCCATGAGGTTAGACAGGCGATCCTACTCCTTGTCACGTACAACCGAGCAATCGAAACCACGTCAGTTGACTCAATGACAGACCTTATGATCCAACGCACACGTGCTAACCATTCAGCCATCTAACCACCCTAAATTTGGGTAAAATAATATATCTATATTTCAATAATTCGCTTGTGCGTCGGAGGGCCTGGCAAGGACAGCTGTCTAGTCGTTCGGATGGGACGACAAACCGAGGTCCCGTGTACACATTGGCGTGCACGTAAAAGATCCCTTGACAGTTGGAATTCGATATAAGAGTAGGCCGTAGTGCCGCTGGCCGGGCAAAATTTCCCTCATAGCACACTGTATGGCGTATGCCCGTCTTCATTAGCCCAGTTTTGAGCAGAACTGTAGAACGTTAAACCACATTTCATTTCCCTTGTGCGTATGGGTCTTTAGCTCCGTGTGTATGGGTGTGTGTATGTGGGTGGGTCGAGGCTGGACATACTTTACGACCATCTTTTGATATTTATAGACTTTTTTTTATAAAACATTGTACATCCATAAACGATCACCCCAATCTGATTATAATACAGATCTATATTTCGTTACGGTTTTTATACTTTCGATGGCCTACACTACATGAAGATCTGACCAGTTGTAGTGGGAGGTCGTGTTGGGGGGGGGGGTCTTATCTTATGATCCAATAAGCGCACGCGTTAAATCGTTCAGTTCCACCACCTCCAGCCCCCAACCTTTATATAATTATTTGACTATAAGTGGTTTTAAGTCTTGCTGACACAATTCTTTGGTCATTTTGGGACTAACATATGTAAATTTCATTTCTCTGGTTACGTGTGCAATGACAGATAGATAGGCTACATTGTTCGTTCCATGCGAACTAGGCCCTACATTACTGACAAGGGGAAATGAAATGAAACGTCCTACTTTTCTGCACCAACCTGGATAATGAAGACTGGCATACGTCATATAGTTCAGGATGTTCGTGCAAAAAAATAAACGTTAATCAAACAAACAAATCTGTGATTCAAATATATCATGACGAAAGGGTTTCTAAGGCATACAAATGGTCTTGGTCAATTTAACGAACAAACTTCTTTTCTCTGCCCGAAATGTGACACCACGTCCCACCCAGCCGTCAGACTCTTTCTTCAATACGAAGACGTTTATAAATTGTTAGAACTTTTGGGCGCCATTGCGCTTTCGCACCTCTACCTGCTACTGGGGTCATCTCTCGTCGCCCTTAACATCTCTTGAAAATGTCAAGTCTCTACGACCACGGTATAAATGGTACAGTTGCAAAAGGGCAATAGCGCCAACATGTCTAATCCTTTTGCATTGTATAAAGTAATTTCGATGCAATAAAATAAGTTTGAGTTAATTTCTTCAACACCCAGGACTCTCGGCGACTTAAAAATAAAATCTGTGGTCTGTATCCTATTGTCGCTTAAATAGAGTTTTCCCCCTTTATTCGTCTTCCCATTCAACGTTGCTGGTAAACCAAGTCTAAAGTTCACAGATAACAAACAACATGGCTTCCCCATCCAAACCTTGGGAAAGAACTGGAATAAATCACCAGAATGAATATGGCGATGGTTCAAATTTCATGTCCAGGTAAATTCCATCAACCGTTTACTTACTTAGAATCTGAAACTAGCGAAAAAATATTGCTGTCAATGTCTGCACAATAGATATCCATCTATCTACATGTATGGTCTGTTATGTAAATTAATTGTACTTGTAGTACTCAGGTTTAGGTCATTGGGCTCTATTTAGATGTCATGCCCTGGATTTATCCTGACCATTGAACGCTATCTTCAATTTGTCATGGTTTGGTAGCAATGATTGAAAGCCTTTCATTTACACTTGCAAACTCGTTCTCATTCTAGGCCGCCGCTGCCTGGGCAAAATTTCCCTCATAGCACACTGTATGGCGTATGCCCGTCTTCAATTAGCCCAGGTTAGGTGCAGAAGAGTAGGACGTTAAACCCCATTTCATTTCATTTCGTTCTCATTCAAGTGTGTGACTTCTTGAAAATACATTTTACAAAACAAAAACAACTTCAACACATACTGACATAGCTCCCTCAAAAGAACTATATATAATACTTGGGGCCTAAAGTCCATAATTAACTAGGGTCAATTTTTGGATCACAGAATACTTATCGCACAATTACAGTCAGAGTGATTCATTTCAGCAGCAACTGAGCAAGGGCCTTATAATAGCAGCAGCAACTGAGCAAGGGCCTTATAATAGCCCCAGTGACACAGCAACAGACTGTTCTTATTCATGTGTGGTTGTATCGGCCAAGCATATCCTGTCCAAACGTTGACTGCCAATCGTGTTTTCTCCAACAAAAAAATTGCTGAAAAGTTGGGGAATCCATGTAAATGATGTCATAAGTTTGGTCAAAGGTCACGAGATGTAAACAGGGCTAGCGCTAATCCCAACTCTAACCCTAACCCTGGACCTAGCCCTAACACTTACCCTAACCCCTAACACTTACCCTAACCCCTAACACTTACCCTAACCTACAATCCCGCCAACAATCACATGCCCTAACCTTTATTTACATCTCGGCGACCTTGACGAAAATTGAGTTAGATTTAACAAATAGAAAAAATACTACAGGAAAAGTCGCTTATGAGCAGAAATGCTTACTATTACAAAGAAACGGTCCCATTACGTTTGTAATGCGTAGACGGAGGGCAGGCCTAAGTGTATGCACTAAGATTATTTCCGTGGCTTAGGTTAGCCACCCCATCTCCACTGATATTGAAAATGAACTTTTATTTTTCTCTTTCAGTGGTCCACCTCTAACAACAACCTCGTTACCCAATATTGGTGGTATCCAACCTTTATCAGCGCAGCCCCCACCTATTCCAGCAAGACCATCTGCTGCTCCTATGGCTTCATCATTTAATAGATTTGGTTATGGTTCAGGTTATGGAGGAGGTATGGGTTACGGAGGCGCTGGAGGTTACGGAATGTACAGCAGCCCGTACAGTTCTTACGGGGGTTATGGAACAGGCTACGGTGGTATGAACAGATATGGTATGACCGGAGAACCAATCGCTGGCTTTGCAAGACAAGCTGAAGAAAATTCTAGACCAGCGTTCGAGTCGATAGAGAGCATAGTTAACGCCTTCACGTCTGTTAGTATGATGTTAGACTCGTCATTTCAAGCCGTTTACAGTTCTTTCAGAGCTGTCATCGGTGTAGCAGACAATTTCTCACGCTTAAAAATTCAATTAATGCAAGTCTTTTCAGCGTTAGCATTTATTCGAACTTTAAAATATGTGTTTCGTAGAATATTGGAGTTTCTCAGATTGAGACCACAAGGCACTGCAGTGGCCGAATGGAACAGAGCGTTTGCTGCTGCCGCACAATCGGCATCTGCTGCAGAACCAGAAGCTCGGAAAACCTCCTGGCCTATTCTAATGTTTTTTGGGATTATCCTTGGAGGACCCTGGTTGATCTGGAAGCTTATTTCATCTTTTGCAGGTACTTCATCATCAGGTCTGTATAATGCCACATCAATATTTTATAGTTACATTTAATTAAAAGAAAAGAAATGAAATGGAACTGTTTCAATGTCATGTAGTAATTGAACACATTAAAATAATGTGGAAAACAATTATTGTATATTAATGGGCGTCCTCGCTGAAAGAATGGCCACCAGGCGTCACTAGTAAAAACTCAGTTCCATGTGACCATATCGATGATAAAAGAACCGTATTTTGAAGTATCGGGATTAAATTCCATATTAACGACAAACACTACCGTTTATCAACACACCAGAACGTAATGAAAGTACAGGAAAACACTGCTGTAAGGTAAACAATGAGGTCACGTGGGATCGCCTCCTCTATGGAGTCACCTATAAATTATGTCCCTTTGTCTCTAGCGAGGACGCCCATTAGATCTACGTTTCTGCTATAACACATCTAGAAGCTTTTCCTTTGTCCCCATCCTGCATCATTGACCTCCGAGTCTCGTTATGTAAACAATAATTAAGGTAAAATTTTAAAATGAAATGAAATGGGGTTTAACATCCTACTGTTCTGCTCCTAACCTGGGCCAATGAAGACGGGCATATGCCATACAGTGTGATATGAGGGAAATTTTACCCGGGCAGCAGCACTATGGCCTACTCTTATATCGAATTCCAACTGCCAAAGAATCTTTTACGTGTTTGCCAATGTATACACGGATCCTTGGCTTTTTGTCCCATCCAAATGACTAAACAGCTGTCCTTGTCAGGCCATCCTTCCTGCACATGATTGTTACACGCCCGGAACTGGAAACTTACGGCTGAATTGATATCGTTTGTTTATTTCTTGCAATGTCTGTATTTTGTCTTGTCCACAGGTATGTATTATCAGGGTTTTTTTGCGTGTAGTGCGGTCCTCTTACACTTACTAATAAATTATAAATGAGTAATATTTTATGACTTCAGGAACTCCACTATGGGCCGACGGTCAAGATGACCATTTTGTAGCCGATGTTCTATTTGATTTCACAGCACAGACAACAGAAGAAGTTTCTGTTCAGGCTGGTCAAAAAATTAATGTTGCTCCTAAAGGTAAGCTACTCATAAAAATTGGGACCTTGTTTTTTTCGTCCCAAGGGACAACGTATAGTCATTTGGAAGGCACGAACAACCGAGGTCTTGTGAACCCATTGGCATTGTTATATAAGTTGCGTTCTTGTAGATTTGAGGGATTAGCCAATGAAACGGTCTGTTACAGTGAGTTCTTGGCGTGTGGGTATCCTACTAAAAACACTAACGCTGATTGGTTAATCAATGTCTGACATTTTGGAATCAAAAGTCACTCATATGACCTCTGACGGGACCTTCCACTACAACTGGTCAGATCTTCATAGATGTGTATTTTGATCAGATTGTGACCACCCCTTGAGTAGACCCAGGGATTAGTGGAGTAGAACGGAACGATACCACTAGGGATACCAAGGATAAGAATAACCGGGCTCTGCTGTAAATCTGTGACTTTAGTATGTGTGCGGTGATGAGTAAGTAAGTTTAACCTTTTAATCTGTCTTGTCGTGGGGGGTTGGATGGCCGAATGGTTAGCATGCGCGCGCTGTATCATACGGTCTGTCATTGAATCAACTGGTGTGGTTTCGATTCCCCGGTTGTACGTGATAAGGAGTAGGGTTGTCTGTCCAACCTCGTGGGTTTTCTCCGGGTCCTCTGGTTTCCTCCCACTGCTAAAGACCCCTACGCGCAAGCGAATTATGGAAATAAAATTGAACCATATGTTAGTCCCGAAATGACCTAGTTTGTGTCGAGTTGACGTTAAACCCCATCTCTCTCTCTCTCTCTGTCTTGTTGTGGCATAAATAGTTTTAAATAATATAACAATGATAAGCAAGGAAAACAGAAACAAAAATTGACCACAGTTTCAAACTTTTACAAAACGCCTATGCTTAGAATGAGAGCGAGGCAGATCTTGTGTCAGCCAAAAAGGACAAGGGCCTTCAAACCGAGGTACAAGACAAAAAAATAAAATAATATCACACGGCTTTGTGATCTGCTTACAAATCTATATTTCTTTTATTTTCAGAATTACAACCACGTGTAAGAGGATGGCTGTTGGCCAGCAGTGATGGAAAGACAGGACTTATTCCCGCAAATTATGTGAAAGTGTTAGGAAAACGTCGGGGAAGTAAGTCCATGGCTCAGGTTAATAATCAACAACAACAAACTAATGTTACTAATGGCAACCCTGTTACTAATGGCAACCCTGTTACTAATGACAACCCTGTTGCTAATGGAATCCCTGTTACTAATGGCAACCCTGTTGTTCCAACTGAAAGTGCTTTAAATTTAGTTCAGAGACAAGAAACGATCACGGAGAGCGAGATGGAAAGTTCCTTCGCCGACGTCAATACATTAGAAAACTCGACACCAACAGAAATATTGAATCAAAGTGATAGCATCGTATCCGATTCAAATACAACACAAGACAATGGTGATTCGAATGTGGAACGGGTGTCCGAGAAAAGTTGACATTATATAATGGAAGAACAATCTGATTAAAATACACATCTATATTACGTTTCAATTTTTAAAACTTTCGATGGCCTGCACTACATGAAGATCTGACAAGATGTACTAGAAGGTCGTGTCAGGGATCTTACGAGCGGCTTTTGACCCTATGGCGTCAGACATTGATTATTCAATCTGCATTGGCGTTTCTAGTGGTGTACCCACAGTTCCGTGAATGGCACGCCAAGAACTCGCCGTAACAGACCGTTTCATTGGCTAATCACCATTAATATAACAACTCTTCCAGATCCTAGTGTAGTAAAGAAAAGTAAAACGAAATTTTGAACTATAAAAAATGAAAAGAAATAGAATCTGTGTTTTAATCAGATTGATGGAAGATGTGAATTAATTTTTAAATTTGTGAATAAATGTGTGTTTATCTGTGATTTCAAGGCAATAATTCCAGTAATTTACAGAGATCTCCTTCTCACTTTCCCTTCACTGGCACTTTTAACAATTAAAAACAAATAGGTTTGATGTCCTACTTTTTCACTCGGCAAACCACAGCAGATTCCAGTACCCTACATCTAGCCTCAGCTGTGTGACGAAGTCCGCCATTGGAACTACATGTACCACATGTTTCATAAAGACGAAACGAAATACATGTAGGATCTGGGTTTTAATCAGATTGTATCAGTTGGTGGTGGAAGAATAATTTGCAATGAGTGTATTTATATGGTATATCAATTTTCCACTTATAAATTTCATTCGTTTTTATACTTAATTTTTCCATATTTTATTTAAAATGAAAAGTTTAGTGTTCCAAAAAAAATTATGTATTGTTTAAATTGGTAACATTTTTTACATAAATTTAACTGCGTTATAATAAATGATATTTAGTTATTTTCATGGGTTATTTTAAAGATGCATTATATAAGATTTAATGGTCAAGAGCGAACGTTAGCCGAGTGTCATTTGAATATATTACGCAATGTCTTTAGCTCGAGACCATTAAACAACTTAAAATACAGACACTGTCCCACACGTGCTTTTCAATGAAATACATCATGCCGGTCTAATATTTCATCGAGTAACGATTGGCAAGTTGCCTGTACAAAGGATGACGTCACATCTGTATTTTGAGTAAGAATAAGATAGAGCCGACAAGTCTAAAAATTGATAATGAAAAATGAATATATTGAAAATTTCAGTCAAATTACTTCATTCCGAGAGACGTCAAGGCTGTTTAGAAAATAGCGGAGTGTTGATTGTCATCGCTACCGTTGTTACGATAGTAAACAAAGTCTCAATGATCTACATTAATTAAATGACGATCTTGTTTCAATCCATTGAAAATCACGAGCATCCGATGATCTAGAGAGTTGCTTATTGATTTCAGTGTGGGTGTATTATGCGGTCACCCATGTCCGTCAACAAGTGGCTTGTGAACTCGATAGAGACTAGTTTTGAACGATTCTTTTCACATTTGGTATGAAGCCTATCGATATTCAGCTTTCGGTACCAGTGTTCTGCTCCCGTAGCCGATACAGTGTGCTATGAAGGAAATTTTGCCCAGGCAGCAGCACTATGGCCTACTCTTATATCGAATTTGAACTGCCAAGGAATCTTTTATGTGCATGCCAATGTACAATGTATACACGGGACCTCCGTCCGGCAAAAGGGAAAACGTCAGAAAGTCCGGATACACTTTCTCGGCTCCCCCACTGCCTATACCCTGATCGTACACAGGACCCTGGGGCTAGCGAGCAATGTGGTGTGCTACACGGAAAATTTTGCCCCGACAGCAGCACTACGGCCTACTCTTACGGGTTCTTTCACATGCATGACACTGTATGCACAGGACCTTGGTTTGTCGTACCATGCAGACAACTAGGCAGCTGTTCTTGTCAGATCTTGAAGAACTTTCTCGGTCAGCGTAACGACCGAGAGAAAAAATATGGGGTTTAACATCCACACAAACCAGGTCATCCCGGGACTAACACATGGTTCAATTTTTTCTCAATAATCAGCAGTAAGAGGAAACCAGGGGACCCGGAGAAAACCCACGAGGTTGGACAGACGACCCTACTCCTTGTCATGTACAACCGGGGAATCGAAACCATGCCAGCTGAACCAATGACAGCGTGCACATGCTAACCATTCGGCCATCCACCCCCGCCCCCATATAATTGGGTATTTTCAACACACATCCTGTATTTTAAGCCATCCTGTATTTTAAAGACAACGAATAGGTTTTGATTCCCTTTATTTCTCTTTATTTTCACTTTTACAAACCATAATCTGGGAATTCAAATTTCACATCTTTACCAGTTAATGTTTTATACACAGCTGTGAATGTGTCAACCTGAAGATAAAATAAACAAACAAAATTAAAATATGTCTGATATTCCTAATCAAAGTCTTGTTACTCCCTTGTTAGCGACAATAGGTCTCGTCAATCCCTTGCTAGCGACAATACGTCCCTTCAATCCCTTGCTAGCGACAATATGTCCAATACGCCCCCGTTAATCCATTGCTAGCGACAATATGTCCAATACGTATTGTCAATCCCTTGTTAACGATATGTCTAATACTCCTACTTCAAGTCACTTGAAGTAATTACACGGATCATTAATACCTAGCCAACAACTAGGTCTAATTCTCCTGATAAAATAGTAAGTGCAGGGGTACCAAACCCCACACAAGACAAACATACGGACATGTCACAATATATCGAAACAACGAACATAGATCAAGTGAATGGATCCGGGGAGTAACCATAATTCTCTGATCGCCAACTGAGGGCCTGAGGAATCCCTTACACAAGATACTAACAATCCCTTGCACACAAATTGAACTGACAGACAGAACCTTAGGCTTTTTCGAAGAACGTCACCCCAAGTACAAGAGGAGTAGAGGTTAGACACCAGTTCATGGTCCCAATATCGTACTAATCATCGAATAGAAATATGAGAATATTTCAGCTGGGCTTAAACCATTTCAAATCTACACGAGTTGTTGTGCTGATCAGTAAAAAATTAGAGTGATTGTTTTAAAATCATAAAATCATTCAATTTTTATCATCATTTAGCACAAATTCCAAAATGAAAATACGGCCCACTCTTTGTTATCAAGACCAACTATGCTGATGAAGACCGGGATACGCAATGCATAATTCTGGGGGTTTGGAGTTGGCAGAGGTTACACTGAAAAAAACGGAACAAAGTACTTTCTTGGCTATCTTTTGAGAAAGAACATAGTTACTTTAAATTCAATATATCTCGACAATTTCCATACTTGACATACCCTGAAAGTTTTTCTCAGCCAGAGGCCCCTGAGATTTGAACCCAAACCATTGTGAAATGAAATCAGGTTTAACGTCCTACTGTTCTGCATTGACTGGGCTAATGAAGATGGGTAATGAGGGAAATTTTGCCTGGGCAGCAGCACCAAGGTCTACTTTCTATTGAATTCCAACTGCTAAGGGATCTTTCACATATACAGCAATATGTACACGGGACCTCGCTTTTCGTCCCAAGCGAGTCGGCGTCTTATTCACGCTTTAAATCTTTAGGTCTTGACATATAAATTGCAGCTAAAGTCACATGTATTTTAGAGAAGATGAAACAAGAAATTATAACGTACTTTGTGTTCAATATTAGTTTGTTGTGTTTTATCTAAATGAACCTTGATTAGTCGAGAACCGTCTAACTTCACTCGAATCCTTTTACCAACGATTTCAGCTGGATAACATATATCATCTAATAGATCCTCATGTACTTTAGTTAAAGTTCGACTGAAACAAACAAAATAATTTTTTTAATAAAACAGAAACCAGCCTGACGAATTCGGCAAATTCACAACGTCTTTAAAACAAACATTTCTGGACGAAAATGGCATACATATTTTTCTCTACAATTTCATGCACTTGTAGCAAAGATGGAAAGGGTGGAGAGAGGGAGAGAGAGAGAGAGGGAGAGGGAGAGGTTTAACGTTCACTCGACACAAACCAGGTCATTTCGAGACTAACACATGGTTCAATTTTATTTCAATAATTTGCTTGCATGTAGGGGTCTTTAGCAGTGGGAGGAAATCGGAGGACTCGATGAGAGACCTTGTGATCTTAACTCGCAACCCCCCAGCAGAGAATGGGTTACCAACCTCTATATCACTTACAGGAAGAGTTTTTTTTAAAGTCAATAATTCATTTAGACCAACATATTAAATTTAATTTCTCTAGTAAACTGACTTGATAAAATCTGATGGGCCTTCATTTTTAAATACACATACAATAAACACTTACAGTCGAGATCTCTGTAATTTCTGTTTTTTACCTCGGTTCTTTTGTTTACAGTTTCTCTGTGGCTGAGCCAAGATTTTTCTCTGTTTAAAACAAATGAATATTAACATTAATATAACATTCAATTTTGGTGATCAATCATATACATGGAATGGAATGGGGTTTAAGGTTTTTTCTCGGTCAAAAGAATACGGGCATACAGTGTACTATGTGGGAAACTTGGCCCGGACGGCTGCCTTATTTCGAATTCCAACTATAAAGAGGTTCTTTTACATGTTTGTCACGTTTTTTTGTGCCTTTCGAACGACTTCACTGTTTCTTGTCATACCCTCAAGTCCTGCGCTACTGAAACACCGGAAGCAAACCCGAGACCACCTGTTAGGGAGTCAGTGCCTTACTGAGTCAGTGCCTTACTGAACCACTGCAGCTCCCCATCATCATACAGGAGATAGGTTTACAAACAGTTATAGGTTTGTCATCATTCTTGAATTGACAGGAGATTCCTTTGTCCATTGGTTAAGGGGAATTATGGGAGATTAGATAAAGAGTTGACAGTTCTCGCTGTAATAGTTAAAAACTAGATAATGTAAAGAGAATATGCTGAAAATTTCAGTCAAATTGCTCCACTTTGAAACCAGATAACAGCAATTGAATTTTAGGTCTAGCCTCGATCATCATTGCTAAAGTCGGTACATTAAAAAACATAAGTCTCGATTATCTATTTTGATGTTAAATCATCCATCACAAAATGTATTCAAATCCAGTAAATATCGCAGGCTAGCGATGGCATCGAGAGTTGATTATGGTCTGGATAACTTAATTAATGTCTAATAATTTAGATAACATTTACTGCCTATTGCAGGTCTTCTTTAGGCCTGAAATGTTTTCTAAAGTATTAATTAGACATTAATTAACTGATCCAGGCCTTAAACAACTCTCGATGGCATCAGATTTCTCCGATATTAAATAGATTAGAATGGTTCAGCAATACTTTGATTTAATCAAATATGGAGGATCGAGACTTAGCTTCGATTAACCAGTACAGTGGTTGAAATTATTGCACACGTCTGCCAAACCTTCAAAAGCTAATATCTTCGCTTGTTATAGAGTAATTTGAATGAAATTTTCAAATTATTCATTTTACATATCTACTTTCGAACTATTATAGCAAGAATGGCTAGTTCTTTATCTAAATCTTACATAATGTGTCTTTAATATAATAGAAATCTACTGTACCTGGGCTACAAAGACGACATGCTTGCCGCTGTATTTCTTTTCCAATTCTCTTACAAGACGAGTTTGGATTTTTTGAAAGTTTTTCAAAAGAATATACGGCACAAAAATAACAATAGCCTTTTTACCAGCAACTTCAACCTCCTGAAATTAACACATAGGATTTATATTAAAATCTTCTAAAAACTGCTTAGCGTCCATTTGAATTTTGAAGCTTTCATCTGTTTTTGGTAACTTGTTAACCATAAATTTAAATTTAATCAAGGGCCATAACTCTAGAAGTAAATGACAGAAATTGCTGAAATTCAAAAACCATGTCAGTTGACTCAATGACAGACCTTATAAAGGACACACATGCTAACCATTCGGCCATCCACCCCCCCACCTCCTCAAACTAAAGAAATGCGTACTTACTCTTGCAGCAATAATATGGAGTTCTCTAAGCTGTAGTTTAAGGTCACTATTCGTCTCCAAATCAAATAAAGCCTAACAAAAACAAAATGTTGATGCATTATTTTCTGATAAATTGTAAAGCATTACGAAAAAAAAAATGTTAAAGAGGAATGAATTTGAATTATATTAGTTTCTGTGTCAAATAAAGGAGGCAATTTTTTAACACAATATCATCCACAGTCTTTAATATTGCAAACACGAATTATTTGTCACTTTAAATCAACATTGATGTTGTTATCTTGCTGGAAAAAGATGGGCTTCTGATATCCAATATTTAAGACAAAATGAAAATTTTAAATTGGCCGAAAATAATTGATTAGAAATTACAGTAAAAACAGAAATGATTGAATGTAAATCAGTTTATTATTTATGCGTTGTGACCCATTTGTGTCCATTTCTAGGTGCCAAATATTAGGATTTATCTCCTTAAATATTACTATCATGAAAAAAGGGGAACATGATATATTCAGTATTCTTGTAAAATCATTGTTTCAGTCAACATCTGCACTATTTCGTATAACAAAACCTAAACTTTCCATGAAAATACAAATTATTACAATTCAAGAAAATTTGAATCATCAAAAGACACTTCTACCGTTTATGAGACATGCTTTTGCTCACCTAACTTTGTTCGGAGCATGATATTAATTCTAACTTCTCTGCACAGAATATATTACGATACAGAAATTGACAGACATCACACATGTTTAATAATAATGAATATTTATATTCAGTATGCTCATGGCGCAGGTTTGTTCAGCTCTTTAAAATAGGATTTAAAATTAGTTTTGATTTAAAAGTTTCCAAACATTGTGAAGTCTTGAGATGCACAGGTAAAGCGTTCTAAAGTTTTGACACAATATGAGAAATCGTCGAAACCCACATACCTGCATTAGACTGTATTCGATATCATTTGGCCTCTCGCCATTAGGCTTGCGGATCTTTGATCTGAAGTTATACATCTAAAAAAAGAAAAGAAAACATTTTACGAAATATTGACAATGTCTAAACCTTTGGAACAAGATCAGAATCTGGCCTCCCAATTTTTTATGCTACTCCTGGTTAAAGTTTTAAACAGGAAATTACACTCTTACAATAAGTGGTTCGATATGAAATATGGTTTAATACTTTTGGCACCAATCTGGCTATTAGAGACAGATGGGGTTTAACGTCCACTCGACACAAAGTAGGTCATTTCGGGACTAACACATTCAATTTTAGTTCAACAATTCGCTTGCGTGTAGGGGGTCTTTAGCAGTTGGAGGAAACCGGAGAAAACCCATAATGTTGGACAGGCGACCTACTCCTTGTTACGTACAACCGGGGGATCAAAACCACGCCAGTTGACTCAATGGCAGACCTTATGATCTAGTGCGCAGGTGCTAACCATTTGGCCAGCCAACGACACACACACCCCACCTGGGCTATTTGAAGTAGGGGGCCTGTGCCCTGTACATGTAGTGGGTACACCACACACAAAAAGAGGGTGTGACCAGGTTGAAAAATCCTGAGGAAATCTTTCAGCCAACATCAGGATCAAACAGGGGAATTCCCTGTTGGTGAGGGGGACTCCTTGTTAGTGAGACCGTGCCATACTGACTGAGCCAATCCAAGATATCAGCTGGCTGGATATTTGTGACAGCCGGATGAAATGGAGTTCAAAAGTCCTACTTTTCTGCAATGGCTACATTCGGCCAACTTCGACCGATTTCAGTACCCTACACCCATACTGTGATGCGGCTACCGGTTTACTTATTAAGAAAACTTGCTGCTTTTGGAAAGGTTCTCAAAATGGCATTGTTCGAAGAGTGTGTAGAGTTTCCATTGCAAAGCTGTTTAAAGAAAATTGGATAAACTTGAAAGAAAAACAGCTTCAGACATTGAAAGCTTTGTATGATGTATACAGTTTCTTTAAGACAAAACACTCTTCACAAGCGTCTTCATGGGCTCCGCCATTTTTAATTCAGGAACTAGACAGTACTTCCAATGGTGGAATTCATCATACAGCTCAGGTTAGATGTAGGGTACCAGTGTCTGCCAAATGCAACAGCTAATGAAGACGGGCATATGCCATGCAAATTAGGAATCACACTCATGTGGTACTTTTAAATTGAAGTCCCACTGTCAAGAATTCATTAGCGTGCACAGGATCTCGTTTTTCTGCACCACCCGTACGACTAGTTAGAGGCTTTTTGTTTACGGTAACATCCGATTCCTTTATTTTGAATATTGGCCAAGCATAAGCCGCGAACCTGTGATCTTTGATCTGCGCAAGTACGGTTTCATCATGGCAGTCCAATTCAAATGAATTTGTGTTTTTGAAAAGCAAAATTCTACTTAAAATATTGTTGAATTATTATAAATTTGTGTCAGATGTGTCCAGAAATGATTCCTTTAGACAAATGGATGGTAAGGATTCCAAATAAGCCTCAAGAGTCAAAACTGTGATGGTGTAAAGCGTTATTTTCATATTACATGTGATGTCAATACACTCTAGTCCGATGATTACCCTAGACACTGTTAAGGCGTTAATAATGATCAAGTATGAGTACACACATTTTGTTTTTCATTTTTGGTCCACTTGGTACAGATAGATTTAGCCTGCAATAAAGCACTGTGGTCATAACAGGAAAGATATTGCAGTATGTGAGTATGGCCCCAGAAGTTTCAAAAGATCACTTGTGACTTTAGATCAGTATATTTCCCGATAGACATTTGGTATGCAATAAAGCGGTGTCGTCAAAATAGTCAACGATATTGCAGCATGGCACCATAGTATCCTTTTGGTCAGTATATTTACCCTGCAAGCTAAACTATCTAGTCAGAAAGATAAGACTTCTCAACTGATTAACTAGCAATCGACATGTGATATTTCAGTGTTTACGTTACGGCCAACGCAAAATCTGTTTAAAATCTGGGTTATTACAGGCCATCTTGCTCATACAAAACAATCCATAGATAAAATATATATTTATTAATTGATACATTTAATATCGGACACCAAGATGATAAAATAGGGAACTAATTTCACTTTGGAGTAGCAACTAATACTATCGCCTAACCTCGATGATGTCCGCAGCGGAAAAGGACGACGGGATCTCGTTTCGTACGTGAATTGGCGAGAGAAGGTCTGAATGCGTCTGGACAACTGAAATTTGAGACTGGTTAACGTCGAATTAACGGAAGTTTACATATTTTGGGCCAACACGTTTTCATTTTGTGGTGTACTTCAAAGGCAATTCTTCATTTTTCTACACGTTTTAGTAACCATTTAAAGGAAACAAACCAAACCCCGCCCACATTATCTGACTTAACTGCTATTTGGAAAAGAGTGACGTTCAGAATCTGAAATTCTGGTCTACTTTCGGTTTTTGACACTTCTAACTATGACTAGTACTAGTACTAATCTATTTAACTATTAGTATGAGAGAGAGAGAGAGAGAGAGAAATGGGGTTTAACGTCCACTCGACATAAACTAGGTCATTTCGGAACTAACATATGGTTCAATTTTATTTCACTTCAGCAATTCGCATGCGCGTACCGGGGTCTTTAACAGTTGGATGAAAGCAGAGAAAACCCACAAGGTTGAACAGGCCACCCTACTCCACTCCTTGTTCTGTACATTGGAGAATTAAAGACTGCAATGAAATGGGGTTTTAACTAGACAAGAAACCTCATCTCCAGAGGTGTCTCGGAATAAAAGATGTGGATCACATCCTACATAAATAACCCAAACTGTCAATTTCTTCTTCAAAACAACTATTGGCACTATTGCATTTCTGCCGTAGGTATGACGTTGGCTCGCTAGCCTGGAGGTTGCGTGTTTGATCCCTGCATTGGCTGAGAAAGTTCATTGGGATTTTCTGACGCGGTTTCCCTGTGTCAGTGGTGCAGGACGGAGAGCCTGACAAGAACAGCTGTCTAGTCTTTTGGATGGGACAAAAAAAAACGAGGTCCCGTGTACACATTGGGGTGCACGCAAAAGATCCCTTGGCAGTTGGAATTCGATATAAGAGTAGGCCATAGTGCGGCTGCCCAGGCAAAATTTCCCTCATAGCATACTGTATGGTGTGTGCCTGTCTTCATTAGCCCAGTTGGAGCAAAACAGTATGATGTTAAACCTCATTTCATTCATTGCAATGCATGTCTGCCACATCCAACTACAATTAAGCGTATAATCCTACCTGACACAGGTACAAATCAGCTCCTTTGAATCCAAGCGATAATAGCTTGCTTCTTCCAAAATTTTAAAACGAATGAAGGCGGATATATCCCAGTCTGCAGAGTATGTCCTGCGCGTGCACAATTAATTTTTTCAGAGATCGGTGCACATGAATTTTCTTTAGATTTGCAAGCCAGTTGTGGCACGATATTTGCACGCAGCAAATTTATTCTGTATTAATTATCATCCACAATAGATAATATAGGTATAATAATACCAGGCATGTAGTTAAGGTGTAGAAGGATTTAAATTTTAATTCAAAGTTTTCTAATTATAAACGAACACACTTTTCTAGTGACCAAATTGAGTTGCTGTGTATGGCTAATATACTTGTGCAGTGGTTGCTGCAATTTCGAATTTCAGTACGGTATGTAGTATATGTACATTTTTGAAATTGCATGATAGGCAAAAATAGGCTATTTTATCACACATGGAATTATTTCCTTCATGCTTCAAGTTTTAGATTGCACGCCAGAATTTAGTAAGGATTTTCATAACACGTGCGAGATCTCGGAGACATCGGACATATTCTGCAGAGTGGCATAAAAGTTTGCCTCATAGAACACTGTATGTCGTATGCCCGTCTCCATTAGCAAAGTCAGAGCAGAACAGTAGGACGTTAAAGTTAACATCATTTCATTTCTCTGGAGGCTAAGGTTATCAACTGCTACAACCTTGAAGAACAGCTCATTTGGCTGTATTTGTCAATCCAGGTAGGGTTGGATTGCCGAATGTTAGCATGTATGAGCTGTATCATACGGTCTGTCATTAAGTCAACTGGCATGGTTTTGATTCCCCGGTTGTACGTAACAAAGAGTAGGGTCGCCTGTCCAGCCTCGTGGGTTTTCTCCGGGTCCTCTGATTTCCTCCCACTGCTAAAGACCCCTACGCGCAAGCGAATTGTCGAGTGGACGTTAAACCCCAGTTCTCTGTCTCTCTTGTCAATCCAGGTTTATCCAATATTCATTATTTTGGCAGATCAAGGTATGTTTTAAACAGCTGAAGGACAGAATTCTTTAAAATTAGATATTACATAATTAAAGGCTGGCGTCTTTGGTGAATATTTTGAAAAGACTCTTAATCTGTGATATGTTTTATGCCGTTCGAGTGGGAAGAAACCCGGGAATATACTCGACATGGTAAGATATTTTATAATGGAAATAGGAGTCACGGTGGGTAAGACGCTGGCTTGCTAGCTTGGAGCTCGCGTGTACGAACCTTGCATTGTCCAAGAAACTTCACTGGGATTTTCCGATGTGGTTTTCCCTTTTCAGCTCTTCACAAGGACAGCTGTCTAGTCTTTCGGATGGGGTGAAAAACCGAGGTCCCGTGTACACATTGGTGTGCACATGAAGGATCCCTTGGTAGTTGGAATTCTATATAAGAGTAGGTCCTAGTGCCACCGCCCGTGCATAGCATTTTGGCATATGCCCGTCTTCGTTTGCCCAGAACAGAAGGGCATTAAACCCTATTTTATTTTCATATAATGGAAATAAAATATGTAATTTTTTTGCGAGATACTCTGAGAGACCTATATGCCATTGTTTCTGATGATCAGGGGAGACACCAAATCTCATTCTGCACACAAAGATCCATCTACTTCGAGAATAAATCTCTGTCCTGAATGGCTGCCATGTCCAAAAATTAGTAGGCCTATACTATTCTTTACTGCGGTTCTATTCAGTTTCACATCTGTCATACACCCAAAGACTAAATAAACTTTTTCAATTTTATTAAAAATTAAATGGAAGCAGAATATATACTTTGTATCTTTGATTTAATTTAAAAATTGGAAAACTAGGCTAAGCCTGAGCTATACTAATACAGTGGTTATGATAATAAACAATAAATGCACACATTTGGTCAAAGCTACAAAGTAATTTGAATGAAATTTGCAATATATTCATGTTGCATTATCTATATTTGAACTATCATAGCAAGATCGACCACCTCTTTATCTAAAGCCTGCATACTGTATCTTTAATTATTTATTGAATTGATGCCAGTGTACTTCATTTTGGCGTGTTTTTTTTTTTAAGGAAAGAGTGTGAAGCACAAGTCAAGGGTTTCCCTAAACCAGAATATCGTAAGTTTCCGACAGAGGCTGAAGCTGAGGAATTTATTGGCGGAGGTTTTTCCAGTAGTCAGAACAGTCAGACAGAATGTTCAGGTTCAAGTTCCAGTTCTACTCCACGTAGAAGAGGTGGTGGGTTTACTGTGAATACTCCTGGTATTCTAGAAACTATGATTAATATGAAAGCCAGCATTCAACAGTTACAACAACAAGTGGCAATGATATCACAAACACTTCTTCATCTGACAGATGGTTTAACAACACTAGAAACTTCATTGAATGGTTTGTATTAATTTTATCCCTTTTTTTTCATTTTTTTTACTACAGAAGGATTTCAGGTTGAATTGTTCTTTCTAAACATACATTATGCAAGAGTTAAATCTGCCTATTGTATGTCTTTCTGTAGGCCTGAAATGTTATATACTATTAATTAGACATTAATTAACTTATCCAGACCATAATCAGGTCTTGATGCCATCGCTAGCCCGCGATATTTAGTGGATTTGAATCCGATCTGATGTTCATTGATGATCAATCACAAACATGGATAATCGAGACTGTTAATTATCGTGAAAGCCATAACAATGCTGATCGAGGCTGCAGTGATTTTAAAATAAGGTTTTCTCGGCTTAGAGGGAAGCAATTTGACTGAAATTTTTAACACATTCCCTTTGCATTATCTATTTTTAACTATTATAGTAAGAACTGCCAGCTCTTTATCTAATCTCCCATAATGTATCTTTAATTAAATGTTAGTTAAACAATCAATTTGAGTACATTTTAGCATAGATTAAGACGTGAGTTCATTTCTTAATAAGGATATTGTCATGTGATTTTTTTTGTTATTTATTGCAGTGACACAGTCTCCTAATTTAGGTAGAAATACAAATAATGGTACGCCATTAAAAAGGTCTATGAGTAGTACAAGTGAAGAACCACCATCAAAAGTGAAGAAATCTTTAACTGATGCTTGGGTCAATAACAATTTTACAGGTAAAAATAAAAAAAATTCTTATCCATTATCACCTGTTAAAATTTATACAAACTGTATTCCTTTTATACAAAGACTCCCTTATTCATTAAGGGGGGGGGGTAGATGGCCGAATGGTAAACACGTACGCGCTGTATCATAAAGCCTGTCATGTAGTCAACTGGCGTGATTTCGAATCCCCGGTTGTACGTGACAAGGAGTAGGTCGCTTGTCCAGCCTCGTGGGTTTACTTCGGCACCTACAGGTTCCTCCCACTGCTAAAGACCCCTACGTGCAAGCGAATTATTGAAATAAAATTAAACCATATGTTAGTCTCTCTCTCTCTCTCCCTTATTCATTAACTGTCACAGTGGTATCCTCCCTTTATGGGATTGTGTTGTATGAACTCTGGTATTTCTTTCCCCTTTGACATCTATAGGGATAATTAATTAAGGCTACCTGTAGATTTTGTCAAAGTCACAAGATGTAAACAGGGTTGTGAGTTAGGGGTAAAGGTATGATTAGGGTGACCTTGACACAATCTGCACATGGCCTTAATATTTAGATCTAACGGTTCACTCGATTGTCACTATATTGTTATATTGATCAGGACAAGCATTTGAAGATGATGATGGTGTAGAAGTTTATACTGATGGTGCTTGTTTTAATAATGGTAAAAACGGTGCTTGTTCAGGTATTGGTGTGTTCTGGGGTGTTAATGATAAAAGGTGGGTATTGTTATAATGTTCATTCCTCTGTAGTGGGGGGGGGGGAGAGAGAGAGAGAGATTGACTGACCTCCACTCGACACAAACTTGGTCATTTCGGAACTAACGTATGGTTCAATTTTATTTCAATATTTCGCTTGCACGTAGGGGTCTTTAGCTGTGGGATGAAACCAGAGGACCTGGAGAAAACCCACGAGGTTGGACAGAAGACTCTAATCCTTGTCATGTACAACCAGGGAATCGAAAAATCTGTCTACAGTTAGCCCCGCTTGAGAACAGACACTAAGCTAGTTGACCAACATTTTAAGCCCTAATTTTTAGTCGAAAGTACTAAGTGTATTTCGAGATTTTGCTTTCATTTAATACAATTGAAAAGGTTTAATTAGGCTTTTTGTGTATAATAGATTTATACTAATTATTGTAGGGGGGTTGGGTGGCCGAATGGTTAGCACGCACGCGCTGTATCATACGGTCTGTCATTGAGTCAACTGACGGGGTTTCGATTCCCTTGTTGTACGTGACAAGGAGTAGGGTCGCCTGTCCAACCTCGTGGGTTTCCTCCGGTTTCCTCCCACTGCTAAAGACCCCTACGAGCATGTGAATTATTGAAATAAAGAAATAAAATTGAACCATGTGTTTGTCCCGAAATGACCTAGTTTGTGTCGAGTGGACGTTAAACCCCATTTCTCTCTCTCTCTCTCTCTCTCTCTCTCTCTCTCTCTTTCAACTTCAAATTCAAACGTTTGAAGATAGCTATTCCATGGGGGAATAGGAAAACCAGGGAGATAATTGTGTTATTATTTCCTGTGACAATGATTTTTAACTGTGTGAAATAATGCCTATGATCGTATAATAGTGAGTTGATAACCTACTGAGCAAAAGACAGAAATAATTATGTTTAAATTTCTTAGAAAATATTAAATTCTCGCTGTAAGTCTCAAGTTTTCTCTTACTCCATCCTTTGTTTTTACGTTTTGTTTGTTTTAGTAATACAAGTGAAAAATTAACAGGAAGACAGACTAACAACAGAGCTGAAATTCATGTAAGTTATGCTAGGTTACCACTGTCGTGCGATGCTTTACGGTAGAATTGTCCCTACTGAGTGCACAATCTGGTAAGTGCAGATACATTCAAATACCAAAAACTAACAAGTTTCAATAAGTATCCTCTTATCTCTATCAAGCGTGATAACGATAAGAGAATACTTATCCAAACGTCGTGCTTGTGTATAATAAACCAATGATTGTTGTCTCATATAACTGTGTTAGTTTTGTTATGTTTCCAATCGCTGAATCAAACTAAAGGATTACATTAGGATATGTTTCGATGCGATCAACACGATTGCTACAACTGACTTCAATATATTATAAGACCTGATAGGATCACCACAATTACTCCACGATTAAAACCACGATTTCAGTCGTAGCGCGAATCGTGATAGTGGGAACCTAGCATGAACGTACACACATACAGTATTAACTGTAGTGCTGGGTATTGTGATTGCAGTCAAAATACGATACATATTGTCATTCAGGTACTACAATACGATTCGTATCGCGATTCATAACCAGGTCAATCTTTACCAAGAAAACAACAGGATAAATGAATAATTGGTATTTTAAGTCTTGGTTGGAATGGTTAGCACGTGCGCTTCGTATCATAAGGTCTGTCATTGAGTCAACTGGTGTGGTTTTCTCCAGTTTCCTCCCACTGCAAAAGACCCCTACGCGCAAGCGAATTATTGAAATAAAATTAAACCATATGTTGGCGTTAGTTTATTTCAAGTGGACGTTAAACCACATTTCTCTCGCTCTTTCCCTAATACACTGAACTTTTTTATTATCAAACTTTTGACCCTTAAATTGATATCGTTCTCTAGCGTCTGCCTTAGACCACACATCAATTATAATTTAAAACATTTGTTTCGTTGCAGGCAGCTCGAGTAGCCATTGAACAAGCTAAGAAGAAAAAGATTAAAAACCTTATTTTATATACAGACAGCGAATTTCTAATCAACAGTAGGTTTTGTTATTTTACTTCAATACCGTCGGTGAAGTGTCAAAAGGGTGTATCTAAGAATTTCTAGAGATTAAGAAATAGAACTTTTTGCATTTCAAAATTTCCACAAATCAAGATACAACATTTGGACACATGATACCCAGAACAGTTCTAATTGGCGCAGAGATACACAGCTTAGTCAGAAATGTGTATATTAATTGGGAGATTCTAAAAATGCAAAAAAGTGTATTTGACTAATTTCCCGAGATACACCCTTTTGACACTTCACCGATGATATGCTAATATTCATATTTCATGTGACATATAGCCGATCATGACTTGTACTAGTATTACACGATGTTTTTCTCTGGGTTATATTCCTTATTGTTAGTTTTCATTTTTGAGTGAAGTCTGTGTCACTACAGGCCCGGAACTGTACAGCACAGTGAACGCTTACAGCTAGCCCCCGGATCCAAGCATTTAATCTGATGTGTAGGTTTGTTGTGATTTCTGCGTATTGTGCGTTGTCTGTAGATTGTCTTGTGTAATTGTGTGTGGTGCACTTAGGCCTACTATTGTATCACATGTGTTGAACATCGTTTTTGGGGTTTTGAACACCTTGTAAACTACAATGTTGTGAAAGTCTAACAGGAATCAAATTAATGGTTCAATTGTAAAACAGGTTCCTATTTATCACTGGGTAAGACACTGGCTCATCAGGATTTTCTGACGTGGTTTCCCCTTGTCAGTGGTGCACCATAGCTCCTCCAGATTGTATTTAACTTAGTACAGCCATGAAATTATTTACTTTTTACAGGTATAACAAAATGGATCAAAGGTTGGAAACGGAATGGATGGATTTTATCATCCGGAAAACCTGTCGTCAATAAAGATGATTTTCAAGAATTAGACGAAGCTTTAAAAGGAATAAATGTAAAATGGGTAATTAATTTGACATTCTTCTATCTGCCTCACTTTCCCTGTGTTTATTAGCCAAGTCACTGCAGAATAATAGGACGCTAAACCCCATTTTATTTCTGTCTCAATGCTAAGCTATATCGTCTGTCAGAGCTCCGAAAGGGAACCATTTGATGTCATTTAAACACCAGGGCCACTGAGGGACACAGATCAGAATGGGCAAGTGATCCTTGGGCCTAGAATGCTCAGGAGATCCATGGCAAAGGTCTACCAAAAACAAATGCTTTATTTTTATATGGCCATGAGACGAAGAATCCTATTGATTTTCAATGATTTCCGATAATCACTTCCAGAGTTATAGCCCTTGATATTAAATGTTTTGTATACTAAATTAGAAGCACAAGAAATTCTAATGATATCTGATAATTACTTGTTACTCTTAATCAGATTTTAGTGTGTTGTAAATGTTTTAAATTCTGACAAAAGAAAAAATATGTGACAACCCTTGTTGACTGCCCGGACGACTTAGCTACTGTGGGCATATGTTTTATTGCATGGCAACCTACCTTTTGCTTTGTGGCCCACTGCTGATCTCAACACCAGTCACTCTGTATGTGTAGTTTAAAGGTCGAGTGCTATATATATCTATATTGTACGAGTGCTATATATATCTATATATTACGCAATGTCTTGTACGAGACCATTAAACAACTTCAAATACATATACTATCAAGCATGTGCTTTTCAATAAAATATGCCACGCGGATCCAATATTTCAACTAGTATAAATAATATATGCTTGGCCCATTGAAATAATGGTCCGCCAACAGCACAGGATGACATCACATCTGTATTTTAAAGCCAAATGTTGTACCAGTTGTCACAGATCTCATAACTCTTACCCATCATGATAGATATTTTATTTATCAATTGTTATTTTACAGGTTCATGTCAGGGGTCATTGTGGTATCCCTGGAAACGAAGCAGCCGATAGATTAGCCAATGAAGGAGCCAAGAAATCTCTTCCATAATGAATGACTGAAATATATATCAGTTGTTAAATGTGATATGAATATGTGTTGTGAGAATGAATCTGTGTTACCAATTTGAAGTGCCATGTTGATGAACTTGACAGTTAGAAATCGAAATAAAAGAATAGGACATAGTGCCACTGTCCGGGCAAAGTGTCCCTCACAGCACATTGCGTGGCATATGCTTATCTTCAATAACCCGGTTGGCTTAGAAAAGTAGGACGTCATCGCCTATTTTAGAATATGTTAAAATATGCAATTTGTGATTTAAACCGCCAGAAGCTACTCTTATAAACCTGCGGAGTTGAACCATTGGTAGCCACTCTTATAAACCCACAGAGAGTTAAACCGCCAGTAGCCACTCTGATAAACAACCAATAGCCACTCTTATAAACCTGCAGAGAGTTGAACCGCCAGAAGCTACTCTTATAAACACGCAAAGAATTAAACAAACAGTAGCAACTCTTATAAACACTCAGTGGCCATATGTTGCATTTCATTAATTTGAAAGTTTCATTTGTTCATTAATATTTATTACATAGTTGAGTTGAATAAAGGTTTATGGTTCTATCTTCACATTTACCCTGGAGTACAACACAGAGAAACTAAGTCAATTTTATTCCAATAATTTGCTTGCACATAGTGGTCTTTAGCAGTGGGAGGGACCCGGAGGTTGGACAGGCAACCCTACTCCTTGTCATGTACAACCGGAGGATTACAACAGGAATTGTTCATAAATCTAGTTCTTATCATTGTTTAAAGATGCGTTCCCGCGTACAAACTGGGTGATTTAATGGTATATATGGACCAAAAACATATTCAAACTAATTAATTTGTCATAATTATGCTTCAAATCCTTCTCAAACATTGTAATTGAGAAGGAATGCCCTGCTATTAAAATTCGATCAAACCAGGTCATGTTTACGTCACGTCTTGGGAGTCAGAGGAGAAATCATTGCATACATAAGACGATGTTGTCCTTAATCGCTTATTATTTATTACAAATATCGAATCCTAATTAAATTCTCGGATTATCCACTACCCGCGTCTTTTTCCGTCATTTTTATCTCAGAAAGTATTGTACGTCTAACTCTTCATAAAGTTTATCAACTTGTACATCAAGCGCTCAATGTTCGCTTGTGACCTTTGACATCGTGCGTGCAAAAGGTCATAATCGTTGGGCTGTTGATTAGGGGAACCCTTACATTTTTGTCCTGTATACGCTCCATGAGTGTTTTTCGGGGAATCCAGTATTTTTCTAGTAAGATTGGATATCTCTACTTTCCATATATACCAAAATTGCCATACTTTTATTGGAAATAACCACCCGATAAATACTTTTCTGGGAACCCATCTTTAAGCCTTTTTCCCCAGGGGTCCCATTCCACAAGCAAGAGTTACCATGGCTTGGTGTGTATGTTGCTGGCTCACTAACTTAGGATTTTCTACAAAAAAAAGCATCTAGTCATCCCAAAAGACGAGGTCCTTTGTATACCATTGCAAATTGGATGAATTTTTGTGATTTCAAATAATTTTTATGAATTTTTAAACAAAGATTTGATATTAAATGAATGTGAAAGAAGTTAGTGCTAGATACCCAAGATTAAATGATACCCAGATTACAGTGTTAGCCCAATGGGTAATTGAGTAAAGACACTGGCTCGCTAGCCTTGAGGTTCCGGGTTCCATCCAGCTTGGTTTCCCGTTGTCAGTGGTGCAGGATGGAGGGGACAAGGATAGCTGCCCAGATGTCCGGATGGGACGAAAACCTGAGATCCCATGAACACAGAACAATAGGACATTAAACCCCATTTCATTTCATTTTATTACAATAAAAGTTTTAAAATATGACCTAGTTTGTCTTTCACTCTGATACTATCTGATAACATCACACCTAAAGGATACACTACTGACACTAAATTTAAAACCATGAAAACTTTTATAATTCTAATTATTTTATTGCACTTTCTGGAACGGTACAAAAAATACATAATCATCAGTCAAATAAATAGTTTAACAATAACCAATGATGGCAACAATAATCAATGATGGCAACAATAATCAATGATGGCAACAATATTATTATTATTTTTAAAATTATGGAATAGAAAATCTAACTATGTATTGTATGGCACAAATAAATAATTTAACAATAATCAATGATGGCAACAATATTATTATTATTTTTAAAATTATGGAATAGAAAATCTAACTATGTATTGTATGGCACAAATTGTTGTTTTATATACTATTCAAAAAAAGTAGGGGATATTTGATTTTGGGGGCATAATACTAAAATATGCAAATGACTACGAAAAAAGTCACTATAGAACCTAACAGAAGAAACATTTCCAGTTACATGTGACGCCCAAACGCACCAATAGCTACCGCATGGAATGCAGGTGATGCTTGGGATCATCATGGGGGTCCAACCCAAGATTTGCACGACTCTGACTTTGAATGTTACAGTCATTGTGGCATTCAATTCCAGGGTGGAAACATCAGTTTAATTGTTTTAGTGACCAGAAAACAAATTTTGATATGCGTCGGCTTACCCAAAATAAAAGGTTACGTGCCCTAGGCATGCTACAGATCGGCACAACACAGGCGGTTGTGGCGCGGACGATGAATGTTTCTCAGTCTGTCATAAGCAGGCTATGGTCCAGATACCGTGATACACAATCTGTACAGGACAGACCATGCTCAGGTCGACCAAGGGCGACAACTCAAGCCCAGGATCGATTTATCCGTACCTTGGCCTTGAGAAATCGTGTCATCACAGCAAATCAGATCAGCGCTCGTCTTCAAACAGACACTGGTGTGAGAGTGAGTGGCCAGACGATTCGGAATCGACTGCATAGGGGTCACCTTCGCGCCCGACGTCCTCGCGTGATCCCTTGTTTGAGAGATCATCACATTCAGGCAAGACGTTGTTGGTGTAGGGATCGTCAACACTGGGATAATCGACGCTGGAGCAATGTGATGTTTTCAGATGAGTCAAGGTTCACTGTTGATTTTTTGGACAGACGTAGGAGGGTGTGGCGTCGTCGAAACGAGCGCTTCCAAGACGTTAACGTCATCAGACATGATCGATTTGGGGGTGGTTCTGTTATGGTGTGGGGAGGCATCACTGTTGCTGGAAGAACGGCTTTACATGTTGTTGCAGGGCGTGTTACAGGCCAGTACTACCGGGACAACATCTTGGCAGTCCATGTTGTGCCGTTCGCACGACGTCATGGCCGCCGTTTCATCTTCCAGGATGACAACGCAAGATGTCACAGGGCCAGGATCGTTACAGGTTACCTCCAACAACAGAACATCACCACATTACCTTGGCCAGCACTGAGTCCCGACCTCTCCCCCATCGAGCATGTCTGGGACATGCTTGGACAGAGGTTACGTCAACGTCAACAACGTCCTGCCAATGTCCAAGAACTTACTGCTGCGTTGCAACAGGAATGGGACAATCTGGACCAAAATGACCTTAGACGTCTCATTAGGAGTATGCCACGTCGGATCAATGCTTGTTTGGCAAACAGAGGAGGATTTACCCGTTACTGACTTGGTTGTGATGCTGTGGTAACTTTGCTGTTTGACCCCGGGTATCATTTTACCCTTATAATGGTCAGTCTGTGCCTTACTTAGTCTAACGATCATTTGGAATAAATCGATGAATGTGAACTTCATTTCATTTTGTCATTTGTTTCTTCGTCAGTTTCATTAGGTGACATTAATAACACTTAAAAATCAAATATCCCCTACTTTTTTTGAATAGTATATAATGGCACTTAATATTACACTATTTATACTATTATACTAATATTATAGCCTGCTATAAAAACAAGTATTATACTATTATACTAATATTATAGCCTGCTATAAAAACAAGTATTATACTGTTTATGCTTTATACACTAATATTATAGCCTGCTATAAAAACAAGTATTATACTGTTTATGCTTTATACACTAATATTATAGCCTGCTATAAAACCAAGTATTCTACTACTAATACAAGTATTGTTCTGTATTATTAATATGGGTATTACACAATGCAAGTACAATACTATTCATAAAAGTAATACAATGTTATTACCTTATTAATATAAGTACTACACTAATAATACATGTATTACGATTTATTATAATACAAGTATTATACTAATAATACAAGGATTACACTAATAAAACAAGTATTATACTAATAATACAAGTATTACACTAATAATACAAGTATTACACTAATAATACAAGTATTATACTAATATAATTTGAGTGTTATGCAGTTACTACACTAATATTACAATTACTACATTAATAATAGAAGTACTACACTATTAATACAAGTACTATACTAATAACACAAGCATTATACTAAAAATGCAAGTATACAAGTACAAAACTAATAATGCTAAAATTATACTAAAAATGAATTATATTAATAATACAAGTTGTATACTAACAGCGGCTGCCAAACAGGATACACCCACATTTTCGAGAGATGGATAGAGAACAAGCTAAAAAGAAAGTGATTTTTCCTACAATCAAGGGCCATAATTCAGGAAATTACAATTCGATATGCGCAAATATCGAAAGGAACCGAGATCTTTGGGTTATAAACTTACATTTCAAGTTTCAACAAAATTGGATAAAAATTGTGACCTCTATAGGGTCCACAACCTTGATATACCATATTTTTACGCTATTTGAGAACGAACGGCGGCCATTTTGTCTGTCAATTTTGGACTGATTTTCACGAAATTCGAACTCGGTCGTTCTTAGGGTGTAACGGTGATATAATAATACGGTTTTTTAAATCGGATAAAAATTATGACCTCTATAGGGTCCACAAGCTAAAAACGCGATTTTTCGTACAACCAGGGGCCATAATTCAGGAAGTTACGGTCCGATATGCGCGAATATCAAAAGGAACTGAGATCTTTGGGTTATAAACTTATATTTCAAGTTTCAACAAAATCGGATAAAAATTGTGACCTCTATTGGGTCCACAAGCTAAAAACGTGATTTTTCGTACAAACAGGGGCCATAATCCATGAAGTTTTGATCCGATACATGCCAATATCGAAAGCAGCCGAGATCTTTTGGAGATAAACCTATATTTCAAGATTCGTCAAAATCGGATAAGAATTGTGACCTGTAGAGAGGGTCCACAAACAATTGTGGACGGACGGACAGGGGCGATGGCATAATACGTCCACATGAAAATGTGGGCGTATAAAAATGCAAGCATTATACTTATAATACAAGTTTTATTATACCAATAATTAAAGTATTATACTTATGATAAAGTACTATAGTACCAATACAAGTATTATACTAAAAATGCAAGTATTATACTATTAATACAAGTGCAAAACTATTAATACAAGTATTATAGTATTAATACAAGTACTACACTATTAATACAAACACTACCAAACTATTAATATAAGTACTGTCATATTCATACAAGTATAATACATGTACTAATAATATACAACTAATATTATACAGACTCTATAATATCCTACTATTATGTACATTTATTTTTAAAACTAATAATTCAAATTA